TTTTTTTTTTTTTTTTTTTTTTTTGTACCGGGGATTGAACTTGGGTCCTTGCACTTGCAAGGCAGGCCACCGAGCCGCAGAGCTAAATCCCTGGCTTAATGCTCTTGGGAAGAGCTTCAGTGGCACTGCCTGGAGTGGTGAACACAAGCTCCGGGTGTGCTTGGGTGCTTGGCAAGCACAGCACTGGGGACAGGAATGAAGACGCCTTTTCTATGCTGCCCTGGGAAGCCTTCCAAGCACTTACTTAAGAACAGAGCAGAGAAGCTCCACTCACGTAACACAGGGAGGACGAGATGTACGCATGCGTGTCTGCCTGCAAAGTGTCTCCGGCTCAGGACGCTGATGGTCAGCTGTGTCTGAGGAGGGAGACCCTCACTGGGGCAGGGCTCACTTTCTTCCGCCTACTTTCTGTTCAGCAGCTTGCCTTCTTCTCACACACTTCGTGGGTTTTAGTACAACTCAATGGATTTATAGTCACGGAGTTGTACAACCATCCCCACCTCCGATCTATGACTGGCTGGGGTGTAGCTCAGGGAACAGGGCACACATTCAGCATGTACGGGGCCCGGGTTTAGTCACTGGACTAGCAACAGTGGCAACAACGTGTTCTTCACCAGCCCCGAAGGAAACCCGTTAGCAGTTGCTCCCTACTCCTCATGCCCTCATCCGGCACAATCATCAATCCATTCTCCGCCTCCCCCTACTGAGGAAGCAACCCAGAACTTCTCACACGCTCCGCAAGGGCCCTATGACTGAGCTACATCCCCAGCTCCTCTAGCTCTTTTTATTTCTAGGTAGGTTTTTAAAAAAATAAATTCTACGGACTGGGGATGTAGCTCAGTGGTCCCACCGCCAGCCTTGCAAGTGCAAAGTCCCAAGTTCAATCCCCGGTACCAAAAAATTTAAAAAAATTTTTTATTTTAATTTTATCCCATCCCCCTCCCTTCCCTATGTACAAAGCTCTGTTTCTATTTTTTCTTTCTATTTTCATGTTTTTCTTGTCCCTTCTTTCCTTTCTCCCTCCCCCTCCCTTCTTCTCCTTCACATTTCTTTTTGGTTTTTTGAGACAGGGTCTCACTATGTAGTTGAGACTGACCTGAACTCACCATGTAGCCTAGGCTGGCCTTGAACTCACAGTGATGCTCCTGCCTCAGCCTCCGAGTGCTGGGATTACAGGTGTGTGCCACCACGCCCAGCTCATTCTTCCCATTTCTTTAGGCAGGTTCTTGCTAAATTACCCAGGCTGGCCTTGAACTTGCAATCCTCCTGCCAGATGGGACTACAGGTGTACATCACCCCACCTTTTATTTTTTCTCTCTATCCATTTATGTATTCTGGCTGTTAATGCAATCTCAGAAACCTTTGTTTCTGGCTTCCTTCAATGTCTTCCAGGCTCATCAGACCTTGTAACCATGTCAACAACAGTCCATTCCTTTGTAGAGTCAGAGGACATTTAAGAGTTCTGTTTTTTCTTTTCCCCCTCTGGTACTGGGAATTGAACTCAGGACCTTGTGCTTGCCAGGCAGGTGCGGTGCCACTGAGCTACATCCCCAGTCCTTAAGATTCCTGATTTACCACATTTTTCTTACCCGGTTATTGTGTGTAGACACTGAGGTTGTTTTCACTTTTTGGCTACTGTGTGTTTTTATGCACCTCTTGGATTACGAACCATGTGAAACTACTCACATCACTTATTAAAAATAAACATGTAAATTTAAAACATAACCCAAAAATCACCTCAAAGAGACCTTCTTCACCCCCTAATCAAGAGTAGCCCCACCACCATCAGCCACACCACCTTGTCTGTAAGCTTCCTTTTTTTTTTTCCTTTTCAGCCAGGGACTTGCTATTTAGTTCAAACTAGCCTCAAACTCACTATGTAGCCTAGCTGGCCTGGAACTTGTGGTGATCCTCCTGCCTCAGCCTCCTGAGTGCCAGGATTACAGGTGTGTGCCCGGGTGCCTGTATGCTTTCCTGCTGTCTCCCTCCCTTCATCAGAACAGTAGTTTGGACAGCAAACTGTGCCTGGCTTGTTCACTACCACAGCCTCAGGCACAGAACCATGCTAGGCACAGGGCAGGGGTTCAGTCAATACATTCTGAATGAAAATATAACATTTTTATCCCAATTTTGCTCTAGAGGAAATAAATGCAATCAGAGAAGCTAAGGTACTGCCTCAAAGTTGCAATGACAGAGCTGGGATTTGAACCAACTCTATATTTGATAGCAGCACAGCCCCAGCTCCCAGAGCTTACTGGGGCCTGGACATCTGTATTTAAGAAAAAAACTCACAGGTAATTCTGACACACAGTGAGAGTTGGAAGAAAGACCAGAAAATGAAGTCTTAGTTGTAGTATAAGAATTATTTAAAAATGAAGCTGGGCCTGGTGGTGCAGGCTGATAAGCCCAGCATTCTAGGAGGCTGAAGCAGGGTGATCACAAGTTTGAGCCCAGCCTAGGCAAATTAGTGATTTAGCATGGCAGTGTCAAAATATAACATTTAAAAACAAACAAACAAAAAGAGAGGCTGGGGATGTAGCTCAGTGTCAAGGCTTTGGGTTCAATCCTCAGTACTACCGCCAAAACAAATGAGCAGAAAAGAATGGTTTGGGGTGCAGCATCTGTGTGGCATGCACAAGGTCCAGGGTTTGATACCCAGCAATGCACGGGGAGGGGCAGATTAGGAATTAGGAAACAAATGTTCTGCTGCCTGCCTCGAGAGTGCAAGGCCCCGGGTTGGATCCCTGGTACAAGAAAGAAGGAAAGAGAGAAAGAAAGAAGCACAGTGTGGTGGTGCACACCTGTAATACCACCGGCATTGTGGGAAGCTGAGGCTGGAGGATGGTAAGTTTGGGCAACTTAGCCCCCCATCTCAAAATGAAAAAATGAAACAAAATAAAAGCCTGGGGATATAGCTCCGCACATAGGCTTGGGTTCAATCCCCAATTCAACAAAAGAAAACAGAAACAATTACCATGGGAAGAGGGATGGAAGCCAAGCAGGACTGGGGCTGCAGGGCTGAGCACTGCTGCAGGCCACAGAGGGGGCTTACCTGGAGCTCCTCCTCTGACAGCAGGATGATGCTGGACAGATCCTCTTTCAGCTGCCTGGCCACATTCTTCCACTTCACCCCTTCCCCGCTGTCTGTTTCATCTACTTCAAAGGACTCTTGGGAGATCCAAGCTGTGCCTCCATCTGATGTACAGGAGAGAACGTCGGACTCAGAGTGACTGCCAGTCCTGTTCTTACCTCCTCCCCAGCACAGACTGTCCAGGATGTGAGTCCTTCTGACCGACCATCCAGGGCAATTCTAGTGTGGAAGTGGGCACCTTCTCTCACAGAATCACAGGAAGGCCAGACCCTTCTAGGACTGTAGTGTTCCCTCTTCCTTCACCCTCAATTCGCTTGTGTTCTTCTATGAAGAGAAGCTCCTTAGCCCCAATATATGGTCACGGATGGAGCTAGGATGCTACCAGACTTCCCTTTTGGTTAATTTTTGTGTGTCTAGGTGTGCTCTGCTTCCGTATGTGGAAACGCTCGTTCTCACTAGCCCTCCTCCTTCTCCAGTTTGAACTGGAACATGGCTTGCCCTCCCTTGGACCCAAATACACAGGTGGCTTGTCGAGCTCCTGCTGCAGGGTTTAGGGGCACACAGACTTTCTCGGAGACACTTCTTTAGGTCTCTGATCCTTGCTCATCAATATTAGCTGCCTTTCTATCCCCAGTGATGACGATATAGTAAAAAGCTAATATTTGCTGAACCCTCAGTGGGTCAGGTTAAGATCTGAATGTGACATCTGGAGACATTCTTGGTTGTCACAGTTGGGTCAGGGGGTTGCTATTGGTGTCTACTGGGATTAGCCTGGGGATGTTGCTAAACACCCTACCATGCACACAGCAGCCTCTCTACCAAAGAATACTGTCAAGAGACTCTGGTTTGACATGTACTGTATTATCCTTACAGAGATCCTCAGAGACAGAGACAGGTACTGACACTGTTACAACAGTAAGGTACCGGAGATGTTATATAATTTTTTTTTTTTTTTTTTTTTTTTTTTTTTTTTTTTTTTTTAGTAGTTGAGACTGACCTGGAACTCACTATGTAGCCCAGGCTGGTCTCGAACTCGCAGCGATCCTCCTGCCTCAACCTCCTGAGTGCTGGGATTACAGGCGTGCGCCACCATGCCCGGCTGGAACTCACTGTGTACCCCAGGCTAGTCTCGAACTCACAGTGATCCTCCTGCCTCTGCCTCCCGAGTGCTGGGATTACAGGCGTGCGCCATGACGCCTGCCGAGATGTTATATAATTTGCCCGGACTTACTACCTGGTTAGTAAATGGCAAAGCCAGATTCAGACCCCAGTAGCCTGATTTCAGGAGGTCACGGCCTCTGCGTATTTTAGTTACTGTCAGACTTAGGTCTCCTTCATCTTTTTCCCCAGGATTTAACACCATGTCTGGTAGATAGAAGGTTTTTGAGTAAACACTTGCTGCATAAATGCTTAAATAAATAGCCGGACAAGGGCAAGCACAAGGTCCTGAGTTCAATCCCTGGTACCAACAAAACAAAACCAAAAAACAGCCAGACAAATAGCAATCAGTTGCTGTGCGGTAAAATCAGCCATGTTGGATGTTGTAGACATGGCCTGTTTCTTACCTGAATTGCTGTATCTCCACTGCTCATTACTTGTCAAGGCCACAAACTTAGTGTTGGAAGGGAGACACAGGAAGTAGTCATCATCATCAACTATGGTGCCATCCTCTGCTAGGACCAGGGTGACTGGTGTCAGGGACTTGTCAATGGTCAGAATGTCACAGGCTGAGAAGAGGAAAATATTTAGCAACTGACAAATATCCATGAGCAAGTTACATCTGTCCCAGTGCTCTCAATATGCAAGCCCATAGAAAATATAAGAAAAGCAGATGCTTGTATCATTAGATTTTCATTTTTATTATCATAGGCAAGGGAGTTTCTCCATGGCGGGTCTGTACCATCTCACTGGATGGCAATGCCTTAAAATGCTAATAAGACTGGATATAAGAAAAGGTCAAGAGACTACAAATGTCTTCTGGCAATGCTATCACCCAAAATAGAACAGTAAGCCTCTTAAAGCACAGCTGCAAAGAACGAAAGCCTGCGTGCCAAGTACACCCAACTAATGCACGAAGCGGCACTCAAATTGAAGTAACTTAAGGCCAGGAACAAATATGTAAACACCAGTGTGTCCAAGGCATGTCATCAAAGCATTTTATAATGCTTCGGCATTCCTGGGTCCCACGTCTTCTGCAATATCTGGGGCTTAATCACCCTCACACACTGACCCTATGACGGCGGCTGGCTCACACAAACCGGCTGAACTTCTTTGGATACATAATTTGGTGCTATAGGCCAAAAGAGTTTGTAAATCATATGAACATCTTGTTTCATTTGAGAGTCCGAATGCTCTTCTGCGGCAGGGCTGGAAACGTTGCCACTTTGCTGATAAGAAAACTATGGGCTCAGAGATGGTTAAGTTGCAAGGGCAAGCAGTACGGAGTATGTTAGGGCTGGGAGCAGAATTCTGTCCTCCCGCGGACCCCACTGGGACGGTCATTAGCAGCTTCCTCCGTGGCACAAGTATTCCTCGGAGATCACAGTGGAAATCCGCCCTCACTATTACCTTTGTGAGCCGAGTGGCAGGAATGCATTAGGCTCGGTTTGGTCCAAAACCTGTCACTTTAGGCAAGTCACCTGAGTCCACTCGCACTTCGTTTGCACATTACTTTTCTGCCTTCCTTTCCCGCGAACTAAGCCTCTAACACAAGATGAATTACAGCACCTGGAAGCTGTTACTCGCTATACCCACGTGGGCCATTTCCGTCTCCAAGGCTCCACTTGAGCTACAAGAATCCCTAAGTCACCTTCCCCGACCTCGCCTTGCTCCAGCCCAACATCCGCATCCACTAGGCTCTCAGCCCCATACCCCGGTCCCGGTCCAGGGCTAACCCTTGTTCCTCAGCTCTTCGAGGGAAGAGGCTGCCACGCCGTGTTGTTCGCGGCTGTGGTTGCGGCGCACTAGACAAGGCTTTAGAGGCCGGATCTCGCCGGGGTCCGCAGCACCGGCATCCCCAGTCACCTCCATCCTCTTCAAGGTGGGATCCGAGTAACTCCGGGAAGCCGAGAAGAGCTGGGTAGATAGGGCGCTCCTCCTTACTCCCTCGCACTCCGCGGCCTGCCGGGAGATGTAGTTTCCGAGGCAGCCAATCACGAGAGAGACTAAGGGATGCCGGGAGATGCAGTTCTAGTTGCTGTTAGTCACGTGATGCCAAGGGCATGCTGGGAGTTGTAGTCTTTTCAAAACCTACTTTAGCTTGACGGAATACAAAGAGTAGCTTACTTTTTTGTTTTTGGGTGGTGCTGTGGGCCCTATACACAATAAACACGTGGTCTACTACTGAGCTACATCCCAGTCCTGTTTAAACTATTGTTTAAAATGCAGTCAGTAGGGGTTTATTTTGCATTTCAAAATATACATCCTCAAATGTTCGGAACATCCTTCTGTGCCTAAGTAGTTGCATAATACTGATACTTAGATAAAACTCTCCCGTTGTACATAGCGTATTGGTTTTCCCTTTCCAATCTGGAAAGATCTGTCTATAAACTCTCCCAGTTTATAGGCTGATTTTTTTTTTTTTTTTTTTTTTTTTTTTTTTTTTTTTTTTTTTTTTTTTTTTTTTCTGGTTTTTGAACTCGGGTCCTTGCGCTTGCAAGGCAGGCCACCGAACCGCTGAGCTAAATCCCTGGCCCTTATAGGCTGATTTTTAAAAACTGAAGATTGTGGTTTTCAGTATTGCTGAAGATGTTACAAAGTAGCATAAAAAAGGAAAAATAAATGGCATAAGATTTCCCATTTTATTACTGTTTCACCGGTGCTAATTGAGTTAGGGCCTTGGAATAAAATGCTTAAATACATCAGTAGGCTGTTAAATACAATTTCATCACTGGCTGAGGTGGCACATACCTGTAATCCCAGCACTGCAGAGGCTGGGGCAGGATTGCTGAGAGTTCAAGGCCTGCCTTGCTACACACAGTGAGTTCAAGGCCTACCTGCAATATATGGCATGACCCTGTTACAACAAAACAAAACAAAGCAGGCCACTGCTTTGGATTATGCTTCTGCACTAGCCCTCTAGACTTGGTTAAAAGTCGTGATAGAGGGCCAGGGATTTAGCTCAGTGGTTTTGCTACCTGCCTCACAAACACAAGGTCCTGAGTTTGATCCCTGGTACCAAAAAAAAAAAAAAAAAAAAAAAAAAAATAATGATAGAAGCCAGGTGTGATGGCATACACTTGTAATCCCCACACTGTAGAGTCTGAGGCAGGAGGATTGCCACAAGTTAGAGGCCAGCCTGAGCTACATAGTAGATCCTGTCTCAAAAAAGCAAATAAAAACAACAATAACAACAAGATCTAGAGCTCAGTGGATTCCCATCTCCATTAAAAAAAAAAAAAGGGAACTACTCATGCTAAAATTCTATATCACCAAGTGAAAACTAAATTATTTATTTGAACTTCTGGAAATCAAGGTTAGAGAGATATCAGCCAAATTTCTCAAACTGGCCACTTTCGATGACTGTGAAGGCCCCTCTGCTTTAATTCTTTCACTACGGAATAACATGAAGTAAATGAAGTAACCTGATGTTGACCAACCAGTTAGTTTTCTGTTGTTTTATCTCCCTGTCTTTGTTATAAGAGCAAAGTGGTGGGTGTGGCAACATATTTCTGTAATCCTATCTCTCTGGGAGGCTGAGGCAGGAGGATTGAAAGTTCAAGCTCAGCCTGAGCAATTTAATGATTTGGACAGACCCTGCCTCTAAACAAATTTTTAGGGGGGAAAAAAAAAGGGCTGGACATATAGCTCAGTGTGAAGATCTTGGGTTCAATCTATGTACCATAAGCAAACAAAAAACAAACATGGGTGAAGAAATCAGATATTTCATAAGAGGAATCATTAAGGCAATCCATTTGAGTACTCCAATTAGGTCAAAGCTCAGTTTTAATATGAGCTAACAGTCACAATGTTCATACTAGTGTTTCATCTCTAGTTTAAAATCTAACAATTCAGGCCGAGGACATGTCTCCACAGTTCAGAGCTGCCCAGTACAACTGAGGCCCTGGATTTGATCACTAGCACTGCAAAAACAAAACAAAACAAACAAAACAATTCAAGCACTCACTATAAAGCCATGACAGTTCATAGAAGCCTCTTCTCCCAAGGACCACTCTGTTCTCCCAGCAGACCTTTGCACAGTTACCAGGTTCTATCTCCAGCAGTGCTATAATTGGGCTGGTTCTGGGCTTTTGAATCTTTTTTTTTTTTTTTTCCGGTACCGGGGATCGAACACTGGACTTTGCGCTTGTGAGACAGGCGCCCGAACCACTGAGCTAAATTCCCGGCCCTGAGCTTTTGAATCTTATTTCTAGTGCTTGCCAAAGCAGGCAAAGAGTAGGCACTCGGTAGTATTATAGTGAATGGCTAAAAACCTGTTTCCAAGTTTCTTTATATTCATTCATTTACTAAATACACAATAAATGAGCTCACTGCACTATGGGTGCATAGTATAACGATGAAAAAAGAACATAGATTCCTTTGGATTTCCTTGCAGAGCAGAGACCGATAGGTGACCTAGACAAACATTTCCCAACTTTTGCTACAATCCCCCCCCCCCCCCCCCACCGCAAAAAAAAACCCCCCCCCCCCCGTCATCGACAGGCTCAGTTGCTTCTACAGGCTCAGTTGCTTCTACTTTAGTCTGGGCGGCAGAACCAGAGCAAGGGCGCTTGGGAGAAATCTCGTTCAGTGGCGATAGATTAGTCAGGCCTCAGAAAGATGGCGTCCTCGGAGCAGGCAGAGCAGCCGAACCAGGTGAGGGGAGTGGGACAGCCCCGCGGTGGCGGCGGCGGCGGCGGGGACCCCGGCTGGAGGGGTCTCTTGGCCTCCGGATGGGAGCCGGGTGGGGATCCATAGTTTCCGAAGCCGGGGCCGCAGCCTCTTGCCCCCTCCCGGGCCCCGCCCCTCTCCAGGTCTTCCCAGCGCGGCCCCTCCTCGGGTGACCCCTCTTTGACCACATTCAGGAGCCGGAGGTTGCGGTAGCGCCTGTCAGCCCCCACTTCCCGCCTGCCCGCTCCTCCAAATCCACTTGAGTTTGGCGGGGAGGGTGGAAGGCCCCTGTGAGGTCTCCAACCATTATCTGTGAGGCCCCTGATAGAGGAGAGGTGGTGAGAGGCTCGAATGTACTTGCTTGTCCGACACCTTTGACGTCGCTACTCCCCCACAGCCCCAGTCTCCCGGAGTCTTGCCGGCTTCTGCTTTCGTCACTTTTGTGCTTTCTTCGCCAAGTTGGAAATATACTCCGACCCTTACAGTGCGTTGGCAGGAAGGGGACGCATTGTAAACAACAGACGCCACCAAGCTTGTGGCTAAGGATGCACCCGCTCTTCCTTGGTTTGGATTTCTTGGCAAGAGCTCCTATGTAGCTTTTCACCTACAGTTTAGCCAAATGCCCCTCCAGTAAGGGGACCATGAGGTCCAGTGTTGTTAACATCTGCGTTTCTGCTGTCGGAAGGCGGAGATGACGAGGTGTCTGAAGGGGTGTATAGTCCAGAGGTGGAGTGGGGTGAAGAAAAAGGGGCCAAAAAGGACCGAACATTTACTGCGTGGGTGTTATCGTGCTGAGGACAAATTATGTTTATTATTTCATTTAGTGCTCACTTCAACCCTTATGAAGTACAGGCTATTCATCCCCATTTCCTAAAAATGCATACCTAGGATTTGTAACATGCACCAAGTCGTGTGCCCAGCTGAGCCTGGATTTCAATCCAGATATGTTTGTTTGAGTCTTCCAGTCAGCCATCAGCCATCCATGTTAAAATTTAGTTAGGATTAGGCCTAGGAAGAAAATAAGGTTTCAACCTGGGACTTTAGCAGTCATCTTCCCTCTTCCTTGAAGCACCATTAAGAGCTTTCTGCAGCTTATTAGTAATTCACTTCCTTCCTAGGCAGACGACTACCACTTAATGTTTCTTACTGTCTTACTCATAAAGTATGTTAGAGGAATCGCACTTGAAGCAGTTGAAGCACTTAAAGGTGTTATTCCCCAGACCAGCCTCTGTAAGCAGCGTGAGTGGTTCAGGAAGAAGATGCCTGGACTGTAAGATGGGGAGACAACTAGGACTGAGTCTGGCCTTCTGGCTTGTCAGAGATTTGAGAGTTTGGGGAATGTATGAAGAGTCTTTCTTTCTTGTGTTGGCCTACTTAGCTTGCTGAAATGACCAGGTGCCTGGGTTTCTTGAACTTTTGGGTGTTAGGAATGCCCATAGGCTGCATTTGAGAGTGCCCTCAGTTCGCGATTCCTCTAATTTGCCAGTGCCAGTGAAGGATACTTAAAAAAAAAAAATGTTGCCACTTAGAGGTATTGCTCAAGGATTCCTTTAATTCTGGAAATTGCCCTCTCTGTACATGTGGGAAAGGATCTAAGGTCCTTTCCTGGGGCTTGGCCAATACTTGTTTGATTGTTGTCTCTTCCTCTTCTTTGCCCTCCTTTCCAAAGCTGATAGAGACGAGATTGCATCAGAATATGCTGGCAGTGGAGGGAAAACTTGACCTCTTCATGCCAGATTCTGTCACTAACAATGAGCTGCAAGTGCAGACTTTGTGAGCCGAATCTCTTTAGCACTTGTCTGTTGTTTCATCATCAAGTCCTAATCAACCTGATTTCTGTTCTGTTGATTGATTGAAACAGTGAGATTGAAAGCACTGTTGAATAATTCTCTTAACCCTGGTTTGTGTGTCAGGAGAGTAGCACAGTTAGTCCAGGGCTGAGTCAGTCTTCAGTCTCAAACTGTTTATTCGTTGGCCTAACAAAAGATGAGTGAAAACCAACCCAGTCTTCCTTCCCCTTGAGAGGCAGTGTAGAGTAATGGTTGCAGATATAGGCTCTGTATCTACCTCCTTTTGGCTTGGAATCCTAGCCCGGTACTTACCAGCCATGTGATCTTGGACAGTTACTAAACTTTTCTGGCTTCAGTTTCTAATACTAGTTTCTTTCTTACAGAGTTGTTCTGAGGATTAAATGCGTTAGTTTGTATTATTCTTATAATAATAATTATTATTATTTTGAGACAGGGTCTTGCCATGTGTTTTACGCTGGTTTTGTGTAGTCCAGGTGATCCTCCTGCCTCAGTCTCCTGAATGCTGGGATCCCAGGCAGGTGCCACTACACCTGGTTTGCATGATTTTTTATGTGGTGACCACTAGTTTAGTGAAGTTCTTTTCTTTGGAATTTGGAAGAATGCCCTCAGTGTTGACATTTATGCTAGCTTTCTTTCTTTTTTTTTTCTTTTAAATTGAATTTATTGATACATTCTAGGTAGACAGTACAGTTACCTTCATTACTGGAATCTTGTACCTTTACATACCAGGTCTTGGAAAATGAAATGAATTCCTTTTTTTTTTTTGGTACTGGGGATCGAACTCAGGTCCTTGCGCTTGCGAGGCAGTCACCAGGACCACTGAGCTAAATCGCTGGCCCTATGCTAGCTTTCTTTGGTGACATTTATGCCAGCTTCCTTTGGTGACTTACAGATTTCAGAGACACATTTTTTTTTTTTTTTTTTTAAATCCTTCACTGAGATCAAACTTAGGACCTACTTAGGAACTTGTGCTTGTAAGGCAGGCAGTAACGCCACTGAGCTAAAATTCCCGGCCCCACACTTGTTTTTTGGTGGTGGTAAATCTAGTCCTTTTAGTCTTCCTGCAAGACTAGTTCGTTTGTTGCTTCATGTCCTGTTCTCTTTGCCCCACATTGTTGTTTTGCATGGTTAGTCCCTTAACAAAGTCCTTTTTAGTCTGTACGTGCTGTGGGCCATAGGAACAGGGAATGTTATCCCTTTTTCTTTACTTTCCCCCTAGTGTTTCTGTTTCCAGTGCAGAGCAGAGGTATTGTTCAGTCTGATTGTCTGACACTTGGTGACCACTGGGGATTATTGCAGAATGTAGATTTCCCTTCTGTTGTGATTCACTGGACATAGTAAATTTTGGATTTTGAGGGCGCAGAAGCAGGGAAGCAAGAAGAGCCCAGTGAAGAAGAGGCAGAGCACAGCCTTCTGTCCTGACTGATTCTGGTCAGAACACCAGCACTCAACAGTGCTTGGACCTCTCCGAGTACCCATTTCCTCCTCTCAGGTGGAGTGATGGGAATTGCCCTGGCTGGGAGTACAGATGTGGGAGCATCTGATTCACAGCAAGTGCTCAGGGACTGTTCCTTGCCTTCTGTACATAGAGTTTGGAAAGTCTGTTCAGCTGGTGAATAACAGCAGATCAGATGAGACATTTTCCCCTTCAACTTTTTATTTTGAAGCTGGGCATGGTGATGCATACCTGAATCCCAGCACTCTAGGAGGCTGAGGTGGGAGGGTCTGGGCTACATAGTTCAAGGCCAGGCTGAACTACACAGTAAGACCTTATCTCCAAACAAACAAACCCCCACATACCAAAAAAGTTTTTATTTTGAAAAATTTCCACCCTATAGAAGAATAGAAAGAATAATTCAGAGAATACTGAAAAACTGCCATGAAAAGTTCACCAAGATGCACTCTTCCTATTTCACTGAATTGTCTTTTCTCATTCATAAGTATATTTAAAAGGTTTCTAGTGAGTTGCAGATATCAGGATATTTTATACTTAAATATTTGTCTTCCATAAGTTGAGGTTATTCCCCTATATACTCACCATACCACCCATCATCACACAAAAAATTTAGTACTGATTTTTTTTTTTTTTTGTATTGAGGATTGAACTTAGGACTTTCACACTAGTCTGCATCACCGTCTTTAAAAAAAATTTTTATTTTGAATTGGTTTTGCTGAGTTGCTGAATTGCCCAGGCTGGGCTGAATTTGTGATCTTCCTTCCTCACTTCTTCAGAGTGCTAGGATTATAGGCCTACTCACCATGCCCAGTTTAAAATAACATTTGATGTATAATCCACAGTTGGATTGTCCAATTGAAAAGAAGTCATGGGCTAGTCAAGCAACAGGGATTGCATGATTTGTCTCTAGTTTCTTTAGTTTGCTTTAATCTAGAACGGTTCTCTGGTCTAAAATATATGTATATATGTATGTGTATATATGTATATATATATACACTTTAACTTTTTACCAAAGTTTTATATATCCTAGAAACTATAAAAACTGTGTGTATGGCTTGGGGAATTTTCACAGAATGAACACACTGTTTAGCCATTTCCCAGCTAAGAATCAGGCTGGGGCTGTAGCACAGGAGCAGATTGCTCTCCTGACATGCACAGAACCTGGGCTCATCCCCAGCACTGCAGGACATTGGACTTCACCAGGACCTTGGATTTTATTTTTTATTTTATTTTTATTTTTTTGTTTTTTGAGACAGGGTCTCACTATGTAATTCAGACTGCCCTGGAACTCACTGTGTAGCCCAGGTTGGTCTCGAACTCACAGCGATCCTCCTGCCTCAGCCTCCTGAGTGCTGGGATTACAGGCGTGCACCACCATGCCCAGCAGGTCCTTGTGCTTGTGAGGCAGGTGCTGGAACCACTGAGCTAAATCACTGGCCCACCAGACCTTGGATTTTATCAGGGCCTCAGGAGCCCCTTCATATCCCTCCCATCTCTATCCCAACCCCCTAAATGTGACCTCATCTTGACTTAGATCACCATAGATTATTTTGCCTGTTTTTGAACTTTATATAAAGTGTGCCGAGCTTCTGAGTAGTGTTCTACTCAACATCATGAGATTCATCCCCACTGAACATTGCTAGTTAATTATCACAGCTCTGTGTGTTTACTACATCATATGGTAGAATTGGTTTTATTTATTTAGAGAAAGGCTCTCG